TCCCGACGGTCGTACTGCTGATTGACTCGCTGGTCGTCCCGACGGTTGTACTGCTGATTGACCCGCCGGCCATCTTGCAGGTTGAACCGCTGGTTGTTCCATCTGTTGGGCCGCTGGTTGAAGCGCAGGCTCTCCAGATTAGCCCCTTCGCGGATCTGGCCAATGGTCGTGGGGCCTTGCTCCTTGCGCCGGGGCACCCACTTGTTCTGTAATGGGTGGAAGGGAGAGAGATGGAGAGTACAGGACACGAGTGATTAATGAATAATTTACTAACAGTTCCACTTTTGACAAGATCAACCCAAAAAAAGAATATTAGACGTTGGAAAATATATACTTTCTCAGAAGAGCCGAAATAAGCAAATAAGTTATGTGAAATGTAAATAAAATGTGAATTAATAAGGGACTGATAACTTCTTCAACATTAAGGCTCACAATCAGAAAAACTGTCATGGACATTTATCCTCGGAACACAAAACGCATGAATGAGAACAAGATATGACAAACAATGTAAGAAATATAAAATAGAATGTAAAAAAACAGGATAGTGTTTGATGATCAGCACAATGTGACATGAAATCGTATTTCCAAGTAACATGGTGCAATGCTCTGTTGATTCTGCTGAACTAGTACATTTCTTTGTCATATTTTGCTGATAGTGGTCCACACAGTGAATCAGTGAATATGTTCTGACATTTTCATTTTCTTTGCATAACAATTTTGAAAGCAGGTCTCAGCACTGATGGACTTGCATCAATCATTGTGATCTGATTGGTTCTGTTCATAACCACTTTCCTTTAGTTGTCTCATGATTGCCAGTGCATATCCTTGTGTAAAGCTGTGGTTTGTGTTGCTTGTGTAACTTACAAGTCGAAGTTCAAGCAAATCCTGCAACATGAAGCAGATCCTGTTGCTGGTCTTCTCCGTCAAGATCTGCTCTATCTGACTGAAATACACGTCCAAACGAGTCTGAAGACAAGCACAAATTAAAAACTTATATGCATGTTAAGAATATGCTTATTACTGTGATTTCCTCTTTACCGCACACTTCCTCTATATGTAACAGTGAGTGTTGTACCTTGCTCGTCTCGACGTCTAGGTCCTTGCCAATGGTGGACACCAGTCTGCACAGGCACTCCAGGGACTCATCATCATTGTTGTTGACCAGCCTGGCAATGCAGTCGAACATGATGGCACCTGTGAGCATTTTAAGTTTGAACAGCTCACCAATGAACTTTATGTTACCCAGGATGTCCCTTTTGGCCTTGTATTTCATTTCCTCCAACTCTGCAGTGAGCTGCTTCTTCTCTTGGTCCTGTCAGGGAAAAATGTTGAAATATTATGGATCAAGAAAAAGACACTTTAGCAAAGGGATAGTTAACTTTATATCTCTAAAACCAGATGTTTAACATGACAGCTCCAAATATAGATAAGATGCTGTAGCATCTTTGTATAATGCTTTCTTCACAGTATGTGGTTGCCTTTGGATCCCCTCCTTCACTCACTCAAGTTCAATCACCATGACTTCCTTTGTGCATAAATGAAAAACCCAAACCGCATTTCTTAATATTTTACTATACCGCTGAAGCAGCCTCCAGCTCCTCCTGTTTCTTCTTCAGGATTTCATTGTCATTTTGGTCCTTCTCAAACTCCTTTTGACAACGTTTGAGCAGAATCTTGTTGAAATTCACTTCCAGTCCATCTGGGGTTTGGACTGTGAGCTACAAAGAGAGATAAGATAAATTTACCAAGAGCAGGAGAGGATGTGGGGTCGGGTTATGTAGTGCAAATTGCTTCTCAGTTCCTTAATCCCATTACTTTGATCATTGGCCCAGAAATATGGCACAAAATTCATGTCATCAGCCTGGTAGAGGTACTTTAATGGTTAACACCAATGCACGAGTGCATTTCTTTTACATATACCAGATATGGTTATCATATCATTCAAGTTGTTGTGTCCTTATTAGTAGATCACAGAAACGTGCTGCTTGTCTGAACCATTTCCTCACACTTAAACACTTTAAGCTTTTTTGTCACTATCTAAGCTAAAATATCTACACACAAACATCCACAGGCTGAATTTCAAAGATTTCAAAAGGCCACACTTACCCCGATGAGGCTGTGGCACATTCTGGCATAGACCGCTGAATAGCTTTGCTCGGAGATGGCCTTTTCGAAGGTGAGCTCTATGACTCCTCTCAGCCTCTCCTCAGTGTCGATGTCAAGCTCAGTCACCTGTTTCACCAGCTTTTCTATGCTTTCGGGGGTCAGTTTGTTGAGGATGCCGCGGAACAGTTTGAACACCACTTGGGTCTTGACCTGCTCTGGATCATTCTCTGACTCTGCGACTGCAACACCTCTCAGAGCTGATGGTTTCCAGGCATTCTCAGCCTTGTTTAGCTGCACGTTTGCTTGCACTTTCCAGGGGTTGCGTCTCTGGAGCTGCTCAGAGGGACGTGGTTCACTAACTTTGATTTCTATACTTGCTGACATGGTTTCCTGTCTCGAGTTGACGTTTGAACTGATGAAAGATTTTATAAATGCTGCTGACCTTCCTGGCTGAATGGTGCAGACACTTCTTCCCATATAGGGCCAAGATCAAAGCCAGGACCGGATGCCATGAACAGAGGCATCAAAGGCATCAAATGCAATTAAAGTGTCCACCTGTAAACATAGAGGTTTAACTTTTATATATAATTTGTATAAAACCTGTATAATATGATAATTTGGTCGAGCACTTGCTTTGCATAAAAAGGATTATAGGGTTGTGGGTTTCACCTGCACCCATTGGACAGTACCAGCTGTCATCAATATGGTGTATTTGTATGGCAGCTGAGAGCTCAACATACTGCAAATCAAGAAAACACATGCAAATAGAAAAAAAACTTGCAAATTAAGAGTTTGTATTTGCTTGTGTCAGTCAATCTATTTCTGATGCCCTCAGGTGCAGCAGGCGTGAGTAATGTAAGAGGTGACGGGTTAGAACCGCACGAGCCACCGCAGCGAATGTGAGAGCGAACAGCAGACCTGTGAAAAGCTTTAAGGACAGTTTCCAACAAAATATTGACTCAGCAAAAATGAATAATAAAAATTGCTTTCCAAAGCACTCTGAACATGTTGTGAACCTCAGAATTAACACACAGAATGTTATGTACCGTCACGTTGTTGTTAATCACTGCGGTTCTGTACGTTGTGATTTACTGCTGTTAACATGACGGTGTAACACAGTTCTAATTGAAAGGTTGCCATCCCAGATTTTTCTCAAAGTTGCCACCCCATCTGCAAAAACACTCACTGTGACCGATATCAAGTGTCTTGATCCAGCCTTGGAACCACCATCTGTGAAACCCAATATATCAAATGGAGACATATAAGTTGAGTCCCAAGTAGGTGGACCTTTCGAATATGAAACAAACATGATAACCACTGCACTACAGAAACCAATGTGGCACTAAAAACAGTTGCTGACCCATAAAAATACATTGGGTTCCATTCCTTTTTTCTGGAATTTGCTACAAAGAATTATTTGAGAAAGATTTGGGATAGCTTACTGTCCCAAATCTCTCAAAAAGATAAGCAACAATCTATATGACATACCTCAGTCTTTTTTTCCACAAGCACTGCAGAATCTCTAATGCTGCTTCCATTTGGGAGGTTCGTCTGCTGGTGTCTCCTTTCTAAACGAAACACAATATGGACACAGTCACTGAGGTGGACTGTAAAAACCTTTTCCATCTACTTCTTCAGAGTTTTAGTCCAAACTTCCTAAAAAGTTTATAAAAATACAGAAAACCCTGTTCTATCACTCAGATACAGTAAATCAGCCACTACCTCATCTCAGGATCCAGCGTGTGAGATCCTGGTACACCAACAGTGAATAAAACTCTCTTCTTGTCGTCCTGATGTGAATCACGCCGCATACGAGTTATTCCAGATCCAGATGGACACGATGGTGATGAAGCTGACAGAGATGAAGATGATGTACAGGCCAAACAGCAGGCGGTCGATGACCTCCCCCATCATCTGCCATTCCTCTGACGTGTTGCTGCTCTGGAAGTGTTTGTCCACCTGAAGACGGATGGCCATGAGGTCTCTGCTCGGCCTCCTCAGCTCCTCCAGGCCCGGCTCCACACAGGGTCTCTCTGGAGGAGTGTTCTGAAGATCTCTCACTGAGATGTGGCTCATGTTGTTGTTGATTGATGGGGCTGTTGGAAATGAAAAAAATGTAAATATATTTATTTGTCTGCCTGTTATTTTGCAGGATTATGCAAAAAACTGCTGGACGGATTACCAGGAAACTTGAAGGATGTGGTAAGAATCCCAGATATCTGACAGATCAGTCTTTGTAAACACAGGGAACACAAACTTGTCAATCTAAGGCCTCAGTGGAAGTTACTTCTCAAATTCCAGATCACTTTACAAAGACAACACAACCAATGACTTATCTTTAACAGCGCCACCCTACTGTCCACGTGGTCGATTTTGGTATTGCATCAATCCTCGTTAGCATAGTGGCGCCAATTACAACTGGTACACAAGTGGTCAAAAATATATTACATCCGTAGCGTTAAGAAACTACCATAGAGAATGAATGAGAAGAGTTAAGGAGCAGGGTTTCCGGTTCCGATTTCCGGTACGGGGCAACAGCGCCCCCAAATTACACTCTGTGGCCGAAAAATATATTACATCCGTAGTGTTAACGCGGGAAGATCGGGGTTCGATTCCCCGGCGGGTAGGAATTTTTTCTTTCTTTCATTGTGGCTGATTCTTCATGTTGGAGCTGTAACACTGCGGCATGGTCAGTCTGTAACAACTACATGTGTGTTTTGTGTTGCACTTCCTTGCTGTAGTCGTTTAGGGTCAGATACCGTTGGAAGTTGAATAGTCAGATTTAAATGTCATCACAGTGGCTTCTGCATGAAAACTAAAACAATTCCAACACCCACATACACCTGCTTTCTCTGGAAATGGTGTGAGAGTCTTACAGTGATGGAGCCACTGGTTCACACGTTGATTCCTTCCATCTTCAAATACATCCACTTCATGATATCTCTGTTTTTAGCAGGTTCCTATAAGTCATTTTCTGTAGTGTAGGCGTTATCATGTTTGCCTGAGGTGCAAAAGGTCCCCAGCTTGTAACTGCATTAAGTGAGACCAAGCTGACAGACACTCGTTTTGACTCATAACTTCTGTGTTTCCATTCCATGTTTTGAGTTTCATAGATCCAAGGCTGGGTGACGGCTGCTCACACTTGATGTCAGCGAGAGGGGGGGTGATTTGGCAATTTTTGTATTTGACTCCTCTAATGAGAAAAATGAATGGGTCTCAGTGTGTGTTGAAAGTGTACAAAAGGTACCCTGCAGGCCTCCCCATCACATTCTGCACTGCTTGTGGAACAGAGGACAAGTGGACTACTTAGACCAAGCCCACGTCATTCAGGCTTCCTCCCAAGTGCACTAGGCTGTAGAATATCTGAACCCTTTGCAAATTCAGTTTAACGTTGTGAGTCTATGGACCATTTGATTAATTGTTCTTTTAATTTAAATTCTTTTGCTAATAAGTTTGTTGTTGGTGTTTCGTCTTTGGAAACTTACAACATTTTAAAACTATGCAGGAAAAAACGAATCAGCATTTGCACACTGTTTGCAAAATGTTTGCAGGAGTGCAGGAGTACAACCGCTAGGTGGCAGTACACAGCACAAAGCCAAGGAGGAGCAGCTCTTGAATTGTTTCATGTTTTAATGCAGTTGGAGACAATGTCTGTGTTTAAACATTAAGGTTCAATGTAGTTAAATATGAATGATTCTTTTAATAATGTGCATTTAAAGTGAGATCACTCGCTTTGGTTCTTCTACATATCTGTGAGAGGTGCAACAGGTGCGTTACTGGCACCGATAAATGCCCAAATTACGCGTCCTTATTTGTTGATGGGACATGTCGAGAGCTGCAGATGTTTTTTTTGTAACGCATTTGTTGAGTAACGTGACTGAAGTGAAGTAAATGACACACACAGGGAACCCAAAACTTCTCATCCAATCACAGCCCTGCTCCTCTTCTGCATGGGGCATTTTGCTCCTCGGATGCCTCCTGCCCAGCTGAGAGGTGGTCTTTGTATGACTGAGCTGAACACGGGCTCCTGCTCCTGAGTCTGCAGATCCAGCAGACAACAGGCGCTGCTGCAGCTGCCGGGACTCCACAGTTACAGCTTTCCAGAGGGGACAGACGAGGAAACCAAAGAAAACTACAACGAGGAATCCCTTAAATCCACTTTCTTTGGCTGATGTTGGAGACATTTCTGCGCACTTTTCAGTCCAGTTTAAAAGCCTGATGTCTCTGCCATTAGCTCGAGATTCACCCTGAACAGAACTACTAAACTCTGCCTGAGAAGAAAAAAACCCTTCTTGGATCTGAAATGGGCTCCAGGTTGTTGTGGCTGTCCTTTGCGCTGTCAGTGGCGCTCTCCGCCGCGCAGGACGGAGACACCAGCGCTGAGAAGGAAGAAGACATCCCGGAGGGTGCATCCACCCTGGCGTTCGTCTTTGACGTGACCGGCTCCATGTACGACGACCTGGTCCAGGTCATCGAGGGTGCGTCCAAGATCTTAGAGACCTCGCTGAGCAGACCGCAGAGACCCCTGTACAACTTCGCCCTGGTCCCTTTCCACGACCCAGGTAATGCACTGAACACACAGGCAGGGACGGTCTAATTCAGCTTTATTGAATTCCCTCATTACGCACGACCCCTTCACGGCTGCACTGCGCCGTGTTGTGATTATTTACTCTTTGCAACGGCAACAAAAGAAACACGCGCAAAAGTGAGAAATGTAATAGTTTGCTCACAACCCGCCCTCTGAAGACCTAATGTCCCTCACACCTCCAGAGGAGGAACTGTCTCTGCGCACAGATGTTCAGCCTGGCGGTCACTATCATTAGCATTCCGTCAGGGTTAGTGTGTGTGGCTTTAGGTTTGCGATGCAACATGATCATTATCATCACCCTTGGGTGCTCTCTCATTCTGAGCGGCTAATGCCTGGGCAATATACTGTATCATTGGGCCTTTTAAAAGTAACCTTGACTTGTGGGTCAGAGGTGCTCTTATTAAACTCAACAGATAATAATTCACGTTAAAGTAGGATCTGAGTGGGGTTATATGGCAATGCAACCAAAAAACACAAACAAGAGATTCAATGTGTTAAGCTGTGAGTTTCCAACTATTCATATTCACCATCACATCCACAGTTGTGCTGAAGTTGATATTTTGTGTTTTTCTGATTGTGAGACTTTTTAAAATTCCTATAATTACTATTTTCTGAGACGAGGAGGGGAAGTAACGTACCTGCTTGCCAAAAAAAACCCCACCATCAAAGGCTGTTGTCATGTCATGTCATGGGGGGGTTGTGTGCCGATAGTGAGGTGAGAAGTGGACAATGTCCACCTACAAAAAACACTCATACAACTACAAGAGCCAGAGGAGATGAAGGGATTTCCTTGTCTTGATGACCACACATCCACACACACACATACAGTGCATCTATGTGCAGCAATGTCTCTATCACACATCGCTCATACACTGCCTGTAGTTTTCAGGGGCAATTTGGGGTTAAGCGTCTCGCCTAAGGACAATTCAACACACACAATGGAGAAGCAGGGGATCAAAACACCAGCCTCCTGGTTAGTGGCGAACCCGCTCTACCTTTTGACCCACTTAGAGTGTGTGGACAGCGAAACGCCTCCCAGAAACATTAAATCTTGTAAAGGTCTTCAGATCTGAGTGTTTGTAGTTTGTTGTACTCAGACCTTAAAGCATTTTATGGTACAATCAAATACACAATTTTACAGAATACTATACTATACTTTTGAATGTATAGTACTAACTTACTATATATATCTATAAAAAACAATCTGAATACACTTAGCAACGGTAGATACCAACTTGTCCAAGAGATCTGAGAGGGGGAAGGAAATGAATAGACAGGTGATGTGTGGGGTGAGGAGACAGATTCCTATTCCAGATGTTTTTTCTCCTCGGACTAAATTTCAGCATGTCACAAATTCTCATGAAGCACAGGTCCTCGATCACTGATTCAATCTGACAACTCTGTGCCTAGAATAATAATTATATCCCAAAGAAGAAATATGCTCAGTATACACAAGTGTTACAAATGATGAATTCATGGTTGTGCGTCCCAGGGGTGAAAGTAAATCTGGGATCATTAGCAGATGATGAAAGAGCTGTGATCCATTGTGTCTTGGATAAAGCGATAGTAATAAGTAAGAATATGGTGATTAGAACTTGCTTCCCCCCCCCCTCATACAGTAAATTCAAACTGCAGCAGCTTGAAACGGAGCTTGAGTGAATGTCGACTTCTCTTTGCAAAAGAACTGTGTGTCCTTGTGTTTGTCCCTCACCACCAAGTGACGTTCATTGGCTCCTTAAAATGTTAACGAGGATGTCAGGATGTGTTCTCCGAGATCCCCCGGAGGGGAAAAGAGGAATGATTAGCAGAGTCCACTGTAAGCAGGGGTGCAGCTGAACATTTCCCCAAATGCGGTCCTGCCCCTGTCTCTCACTCTTTATCCAGTATCCCAAACCCTCAGGAGACAGTCGGCTTTGTTTTCAGAGGAACTTTTTATTGAGGCTTTGTTTCACTCCTCTGACACAGATCCATTTTCTCCACTTTCCATCCGACCCAGTGCGATAACACGGTCCCTCCTGTTTGATTTGGCTCCTGTTGAATCAGAGGCCCAGAGCTTCAGCTTTATTTACATTGCAATCTGACATGGTAAACATTAGAGTGTCTTTTTGTGTATTTCTGTCGGCCTGTATTGTGTGTGTCTGTGTGTGTGTGTGTGTGTGTGAAGCGAGAGTGTCAGGAGGATGCCTGGATATTGGGGTCAGGCTTGTGTGGGAAGATCAGTCAGGAAGCCCCCCCCCCCTCCATCCTGCAGGGAAAGAAAGAAAGAAAGCAAAAGAATACTTCATAAGTCATTTGACTGAGGCACAGGGCTTGTGTGCTTAGCACCACGGTCTGAGAACACTCCGATGAAACCGTGGTAGGGTTGAATTACAGCTGCCCCTGTTGTGTTATCATTTCATAGCATAGTTGCTTTTGAAAGTGGCTTTCCCTTAATGAGGGAATGTGCTGTACATTAACGCCCCGGACTGTTAAAATAACAGCTGTGAACACGAACATCTCTTTTTTTTCTGCAGCTATAGTCCGGAGAACGACAAGTAATCTGTCATTAAAGAATCCAGTCTCAGGCTGAGAAGTTGAAGGTGTATTGCAAACAGACTCTCTGGACTCATGGAACATTTATTTGAGATTTTACAGCCAAATAAACTTTATTTCACAACGCTGCTGCCATTCCCGAGCCAGGAAGTTTGGCCTTCATCCCAGCACTGATGTCAAATTGTGCAGTTTTCCAATTAACCATTCATAAAGAAGCTTTACGGTCTAGCTGCTTTCAGACGTGCACTGAACTCCAGACATTTTCTGGAGGGGCTGTATGTGAGAAAATGTCAGTGTGAGCCCATGTGCGAGTT